ACATTTCAGTTACAAAAATCATGATTTTTCTTCACTTTAATTTTCATTACAGTGGCCACTGTATATGTACACACTTACTTTGCTGGAGTTGAAGCCAGTGGAAATGCACGAGGAAATTTTGCATAATCTTGAGCTACTGGCAAAAGAAATTGATGCGCAACGCTGTGGAATGTATGAAGATATGGCCAGAAATTTACAAATCAACGAAAAATTGCGACAGAAATTTGGCAATGGATTGCTCATTGATACGCTTTTCAAAAAGACAGATGACGGTCCTCCTGTTGGAGAACTGAATTTGGAAAATATGGGATTGAAAAGGTTTCCGCAACTCATATTTCCAACCATCCCCTGCAATCTGAAATTTACCAAGAATACCAAAATCGACCGAGCTATGCCATGTTAGTGTAGCGGGGGGGGGGCAGGCAGAGGGAGGGGCTATTTGCAAAATAACACACTGGGTCCGGCTATGCTTGAGGCTCTTCAATCCTGGAATACATTTAAAAAATATTCCCCCAGAAATGACAAAATTTAATAGTCGATTTTGATTCACTTATTTTTTGATTCACTTAATTCACTTATTTCACTAATCATATTAAAATAATATGATTTATTTAATAATATGACTTGCTTTGATATTATTTAATATGACTTAATAATATTAAGTTTAACTTTAGTATTAATTCGTGTATTAATAATACTTAATTTAATGATGTAATATTGATTTAACTTAATAATGTTTAACTTAATAATATTAGTAACATTAATTCCCAAATGATATTAAATAATATCAAAGCAATTTTATTTATTAAATTAGAATTAGTCTGCGCAGTTTTTGCTAATAAAATCAGTTGTCATTGTCTCAGAAAGCATCATTTTTCAATAGCATTATACCGTCGATTCTGTTGGATGGGTATGAAACCTGGCCATGCTTAAGCTTGACGTGGAAGAAGTTGTCAGTTACGCCAAAGGGAACGTAAGCTACAAACTCTTGGCAAAATTGCATGATGCAGAACTGGATTTATGAAAATCACCGATGTCATCAAAGTGTCAAAAAGTAGAAATGCCAAGCTGTATTTTCATTACAGCATTGAACACCTAAAATATTTGTCATCTTTTATCGTTCGATTGAATCTCAGTGGAAATCGATTCACCGACGTGCAGCATTTCAAGTCATTCCGACGTTTAACTCATCTAGTACTGGACAGGAATCCTTTATCGAGGTTTTCTTTCTTTCATATAGGCATTTTTTATGGGATTATTACTTCCCTCCTTCTCCATCTCCCCTTCACACTTCTCCCTCTCCAGCAGCTCGAGCAAAATTGGTTCCTGTGCCGAGGTGTGTCACTTGAAATGCAACCAGGCCGTGGGCCTAAAATGGCTTTTTCCTACCTAAAACGCAGTCGGAGAACTGCCTATTTTTCATTCACGCTCTTGTTTAGACTACGATAATTGTGAGAAGCACTTCTATCTCATCCTGATTTTTCGAAGTCTCTGACAATCTCTGACTTTCCTTTGGTGGTTTTTTTTTTTTT